AAGAAGGGGCTCTGCAGCAAAACCATTCGAATTGTGCTCATGTCGCCTGACCCTAGTCGAATCAGGTAGTGGTCGACCATTTCCACCCAAAGATATTTGATGGTGATCCTTCTGGTGCTTGTCGCAAGCGCACACTGCAGACACACCGTCTTCCGGCTTTAGTGGATATATGCCGATCATTTGTCTCATCTGTACGATAGCCAACTGATGTAATTTCACGAATTCCACCTCCTAGAGCCATTTCTATAACAGGAAAGATGAGAGCTTAACATAGTTCCCGTGGATTTTAAGGATATTGAGATGACAATGTGACGCATACACAGACTGGATAAAACACTTTTGATAGACACTTTTTCGTGGAACTCGCCCCAGAATTTCTCCTTTAGTCGTTGACACATGAAAGTGGAACATAAAATATAGTTGTATACGAAAAATTTTAGGGTCTAGAAAAATTCCTTGAAGGTTTATTGTGACATGACTTTCCTTTTCCAAGGAAACTTTGGTTGGAAGGAATTAATGTAATGGTTTAACGGGAATCTGAAGGAGGATTGCCTTGAGCTGGAGTGAAGTCTGTTGGGTTACGCGAACAAGTCCTCTCTTAATTGGCCTCTGTTTCTGATGAGCATTTGCTAAGCTTTCGTCTGTACCATCATGACAGACAGAATTAAAGCAAGAATCCATACCTTACGGAATAGCGCAAATAATATACTAAATTAAGAGAATATAGGACTGGCCGCAACCGTAGCCACTTTTTAAACACCTTTCCTTGCGATTTCATGATTTGGTTAGCTACCCTAAACTTGCCCTACATACTTAAATATAAATGAAGTTAATTCTTGAACAGGAAAGAGTCTGGAATCACCTCGAGTCTGGTTAATGCCATCACATCTCTCATGATATAAGCATTGCATACACACGATAACGAATAGCACATCTAAACATGAGTTAGCATTAGAGGATCGTACTCTAGTTTATTTATGTAAGGAAACAGCTGCTATATCCACTTCCTTTTCATGAACTAACTTCACTCATTTGCAAGTATATAGAATAACTTTGAGGTAGCCAACCAAATCATGTGATGTCTCATTAAAGTCACTAAATTCGGCACCTTTTCTCTTGATTTAGTATGGTTTTTGCACTTTCGTAAATTGTGGATTCTTGCTGTGAGGATGTATGCCACAGGGTTGCATACGAAAGCTTAGCTCGGGTTTAGTGGAGTCGCAGGACCGTGGGTCAAGGACTTCGTCGCGCAGCACAACAGTCTTCATTCCGCTGCAATCCTCATTAGATTTCCGGTGAGATAATTTCATGAATTCCTTCGAAGTGGGAAATCACCTCATGACGTAACTTTATGGCAGATTTCCTCTTTGGCCTCCATAAACCCATGACAAAGGTGTGTAAATCAATCCTCATTCATCATTACAGCCAAAGTGAGATAGAAGTGGAAATAAATGAGCTTTTCTTTTGTTATGTTTAGTGCACATGCAAAAGAGTCAGGACAACACCGAATAGCTTTGACTATTGCACCATTGACTGAGTACCCTAACAATGCTGCAGATTCAAGACGAGGAAGAGCTGAGGCTAAACCTTAGTATCTTAAACGGTTTCGATA